TTAAATATCCAAACAATGCGAAAACACTAGTTCATCGCACAATATTTTTCCAGTGGTGGGGATCAAACCTACACCCTCGGGCGCAAGAGGTCTCGTTGTTCCAATTGACGGCAGAAATTTAAATAAAATAAGGACTATGTTATTGCAGAACACTTGTATTGACTTGTAACACTGTATTTTCATATATAAAAAAAAGATATGTAAGAAAAAAAAGGAAAACAAATATTTTTGCGGTCATCATTAATAACCGGATAAATTTTTCGCTCTCTAAAAACATTTCCAACAAAGATTTTCATGTGGATAATTTTATCCTTTAAGTTATTTACTATCAGTGGATTCCGAGATGCAATCGTATTACTATTGCGAAGCAATTGCAGCTCTATCAATCAGGGCAACCTGATTTGCCCTAATTAATCGCCATTCGTCTAATACTACGTGAAACGCACCTTCTACGTTTTGATCCTTGAAAATATTTATGATGCATGGTATGGATATAGTCCTATTTTGACATCTAGTGATGACATCCAATAAAAATGAACTAATAAAACGAAAAGATTTTTTACATTTAAAAACAGTGTTTTAAAGGTAAAAATCTTTTAAGAACATTACTTTGTTAGATGAAACCGTTTTACTGGTTATATGAGAAGGGGATTTCCACCAGACTTAAATAGATAAAATTGGTAAATAAGTTTTATTTCACAATGCGTACTATTCGCTTAAGTTCGATCATAATTATCTTTCTTTCAACCTTACAATATTATATAGGGCCATATTATTTTATTATAAAATGGCCATTATAAAATATTAATAAAAATATGTACTGTACAAGTTCAACATTTTTATTAACAAAAAATTAAACAGACTTCTAATATCTCACTCATTTAGCTCAAAGTAAATGTCCTAATATTTCACTCCCTGTAGGATCCTTTAGCTAAAGCGTAATCAAAGACGTAGTGGACTGTAGAATATGTATATATTATGTATAAGGGCTTTATAATATAATAAATAATTAGACCGCAAAGTGGGTAGTAGTTTCGGCGGTAGGTTGTTGTAAAAAAAAAAGGAGGGATCGTTACTTCCACCGCCCACGCCAATGACGTTCCGGTTCACGCGTGAATACTCATTTAACATTTTCTAATTGGTTTCGAGGAATGCCCTGGTGTATATCCGTACTTGATGGCCTAATACCAATAATACGGGACCACATAGAACCAAAACCGAAAGTATCATGTAAAGTAAACGTAACAAACATGTAAAGTAACAGCCTATATATGTCCCATTTTTGGACAAAAGCCTCCTCTGTACACAGGGTGTTAAGGTAAAGTAAATTCGACAAAACTGCAAAAAGTAATAAAAACCAATAATACAAAATTAAAAAGGAAATACCTATTGCCAGTATCAAGATCAAAAGAGCGTATTAGAAATTTGTGAAATATACTCTGCTCGATACAGCACAAATACACTCAGCCTTCTATGTAGGATGTCGTACAGTCATCTTAATAAAGTAGTACTCGATTGAGGTACTAGTATTACAAGCATGCGAGTGCATGTCTGAAATTTTTTGATAAGAATTAATAAAATTTTGATAAAATAAAAATAAAAATTTTGATAAAATTGAAAGATGATGTATTTCGTACATACTCGTACATTACTAACATAAATTACAAAGCGAAACTGTTTTATTAGATTCTAATGTTTTATTGACTGCTAAGAGTTTGTTTTATCTTTAGGCAAGCTTTCGCAAGACTCTTAATCAGAAAACGGCAATGCCAAAAAAATGCTTATCAGACATATTCACAAGCTTTAAATAACAGTGTTAGTTTGTTTTTAACGTGAACAATGAACATACTAGCGTGAAACATTAATAGCTCCTCTAGTATTGCAAGTTAATAACGGTACCATAGAGGACTAGCGTCAAATGAGTGAGGTAACCGGGGCCCACTTTTTTAAAGTTGGCAATGCAACTGAAACCCTTCAGGTGTTGTAGATGTCCATGGGCGGCGGTAATCACTTATCATCATTTGGACTACTTTCTCATCATCATCATCATCAACATTTCAGCCTGTTTGAGTTCACTGCTGAACATAGGCCTCCCCCACAGACTGCCACGAAGCACGATCCTGAGCCACCTGTATCCATCGATTTCCATTTGTACAGGTCGTCACTCCATCTAGTGGGTCGCCCCACACTGCGATGGCCAGCTCGAGGCTGGCACTCGTGAACCTTTCTTCCATAGCGGTTATCCGTTCTACGAGCTATATGGCCGGCCTATCGCCACTTCAGCTTACTAAACTTCTGAGCTATGTCGGTTACTTTTGTTATTACCTGTTCACTTGCCAACTTTTCACCTAAAGAAAGACCCACAAATATGAACGAATCTGCAGCATTTATATAAGTTACTGGTCGCCCAGTGGTCAAAGTTCGACCATAATTAATTTAAATTGTTAGTTTGAACAATAGTAATCTCTCATCAATTTGACGTGACATCATGAAATCTTTTTTATAAAACAAAACTGGCTCAATGCCTTTAAATTTACTCTACATCTGGATTCATTCAAGCCGAAGGCTTGGATTAAGAGTTAATTATTATTCAGATTTTTTGACACCAAATTATTCCAAACTATGATAATAGGCACAGCATGTCTCTCTTTTTGGGTGAGCTGGAACTTACAAACCAGATGAATAGAGAATTGCAAAATTTAAATTTTAACTTGTTCAGCTGTTGTGAAAAGTCGTCAAGCGAGCAGGCAGTTCACCTGATGTTAAATGAATACTGCCTCCCATGGACATATACAACACCCGATGGCTTGATGATGCGTTGTCAACCTTCAAGATCGTTGGCCCCGGTTACTTCACTCACCAGACAAAAGGCGAAAGTTTAGAACTTCCACTTCACGTCGGTTTTCCTAGAGGCCGTTAGAAAGTCTGATTACTATATTGACAGTGATTATCGCTCATCCTGATAAAACTTAAAAAAGCCTGATTTTTAGAGTTCCGTACCCAAAGGGTAAAACAAAACTCTATTACTATCTGTCTGTCCGTCCGTCCGTCGTCTAGCTGAAACTTTCACAGATGATATATTTCCATTATTAACCGCTATGGGAACAAATACTAAAAACAGAATTAAACAAAAAATATTTAGAGGGGCTCCTATATAACAGACATGATTTTTTTGACGTTTTTAGATAATGATACGGAACCCTTCGTGCGTGAGTCTGACTCGCACTTGGCCGGTTTTTTAAATGTATACCAACCACGTTATAAGCTCCTTTAGTTTCGGCTTGGGAGTTGAAATAAAATGCATACTCCATATGAGTACAAGAAAAGTTTTACTAGTTCCACAAACTGCAATGGTTTTACCGCAAAACGAAATGCTTTTGCCGAAGTTATTTTTTTTTACAACATTGTAACATTGTTCACAAATTCGCAATATGTAAACAATGTTACGTTTATCACAGTTGTAAAAAGTTTGAGCGCCTGAAGTTAACAAATAAATAAGTTATGTTATTGCATTAATGCATTTACGATTCACTTACTCATTTAGATGAATATGTATCAGAGAATCTCCATAAATATGCCGATTCTCTTATTATACAAATTTTAAATCATTCAGATAATTTTTTTCGGAAATAAAGAAACATAACACTTATCCTTAAGTTATGTATAATACCAAAATTATATATTTTACGATTCAAAACTTTGCTATAAGATATATGTAGGCACTTCCTTTTCGTTCTAAGTTTCCAATTGCTTTGGACCTGTATGTCAGATTTAATAGTATCCAGCATGGATTGGTACTTGGCTTTTTTCGGGGATTTTTATACTTTATTTATTTTTATCATAAGAGTAGATAATTTTTATAAATAAAGGCCAAACGTATCAATTACTTCCATAATAATTTCTAATGTCATATAAAGTCAGATCCAAGATTGTTTTTATGTTAAAAGTTGACAAGCGACCATACGGCATCAGTTGAGCCGCCCATGGACTACTATACCTGACAGGTTGTAGATACGTTGTCAACGAAGCAAACAAAAAACCGGGCCAAGGTACCTCACTCACCAGGCGAAACGCGAAAAAATAACTTACACGTCACGCCAGTCTTAGAACTTCCCTGGAGGAGCCTGCCCACACGTTCGACAGCAGAATCTGTTACACGGCCCTACCAAAGTGACAAAATAAACGCGTCTGTGAATATTTCCGTAATAGGCACAGATTAACAACTTAAAAGCGATTTAGGACAAAAGAAAAATAAAAGACAGACATTTTCTTGCTTCTTAAAATAATTATACTTAATTGAAAAATACTTAACAAATTTGTTTAATAAATCCTAATGTTAAATTAAATATAATTTATTCTATCTTATCTAAGTAATATCACATATCACCAGCGACATCTCAAATATCGATTATGTGTCACGATACATTTTCTGAAAATGTTCTTGCATGACGTCATTTTTGGCAAGTCACGAGTAAAGTATTCGATCACAGTTTTTAATCCCCAAAATTGATTTTCAACAGAAATAAATTAAATGTTTATACCATTGGACACATTAGAATGTAATGATCCGCTTTTAACAATAAACTAAATAAAGCTGTCAGTTGATGTGCAATAGATTTGCAGAATTTTTGCCTTACATTGTCAACTAATTTGATGCTGTTTTTTGAAAAATTACGAAAATTACTTTATAGCCATTTTTGTCAAACGCAGTTGCACTTCATTCGTTGCGTACATGTGTTAAACTCATACATGAAAACGACGAAACAATTCCACAAAACAATCTGAACTTCTACACGCGCTCCTTAAAAAGGTATAAGTACCGCCAAATAAATATTAAATACAAAACAATTATAAAATAGTAATACACGTACGGTTTCGATTGAATCATAAAGTACGTAAGTACAAAACTCTTACTCATCCACTTTATAGCATTACATCGTTTTACGAAAGTTTATATCTATAATTGTCAAACTAAATAAATTAAATGTACATCATAATTACGTGCCAATGACAAATTTTAAAAACCAAATACTGGAAACGAAAACTAATCCGCAAATGGAGCTCAAGCTGCTCGCGGATGACGTACCGTTATTATTCATAACGACAACTGGCCACCAATGCGTTATGGATATATGTTGACCGTCTGTTTTGGGTTTCTCCGTGGTGGCGTGTTCAAGCATGTTGTCCGGCATGTAACTGCCACATCTCGGAAACTCGGGCGGCACTGGTGCCATGTCCTTGTGTTCGCCCACTTTGAACACCAAAGCCATGCCCACTTCAACATGGAACTCTATGTGGCAATGGAACAGCCAGTAGCCAGGGTTGTCGGCTTTGAATCTGATAACGGTGTAGCCGCCGTCGGGAACCGTTACCGTGTCCTTTAACGGGGCATTTTTCAAATTCCGCTTCAACAGCCCTGCTCTGTCGAACTCCTTGATTTCCTCGATGGTAGTGTCGTTAGCTAGGCGTCTCATTCCCACAACCCTAAAGAAGTGGCCGTGTAAGTGAAATGGGTGATTTGCGTCAAACGTGACACCTTCGTCGACAATAATGATCTCGACAACAGCATTCTTCCTAACTGACAGAACGTGGGGGCATTCGCAGTATCCCTCTTTGCAAGTTTCGTTGAGGCTAGAGGCATTGCAGAAGTTTTCGGGGGAGGGCCGGTCAATTAGAAGCGGGCTTGATGGCATCTTCATACTTATGTGATTGAGTTGAGGTGTATACAGGCGATTATCTTTGTTTGGCACTGTAAGGAAAGTTAAATTCCGTTTTATTTACTATTTTATCACTAGATGTATTAGACTTAGACGTAGCAACGTACACGGAGTCAAAAATAGTTAATGTCTATAAAGACCTTTGTCTGATGGTATAAGATCCTGCGAGTGATAGTAGACGCATTGAATATCGATGTATTTCATTTTACTAACAGTCAACTTTGGTACAAATCCCGCTAAAGCTAAATATTCCCAATTCTAAATTGTAATATTTTGGTTGATATAGGCTTTTAAAAAAATAATGATTAAGAATATCGCTATAGCGTAAAATAATAACAATGACAATTTAACAGAATTGCTTATTGTTTTACAACAAAAATAAAGTCCAACCAAGAGAAAGTGGAAACTCACCTTGGTAATATCCATAATACGGTGAACGGTGGAAGTGAGAATTGTTCTTGGCGTAGAAATCATACGCCACGTAAAACTGATAGTCCGCAATTTCTTTCAAACTATCGTCGTAGCCTTCTAGCGATTTCATTTCAGCAACGCTTATCGTTTCGTTTTCTTCTTCGCCTTTATTCAATGCATTCAATTGCTGTAAAGCAAGTTATATGAGACTATTATTGAGCTACCGTTATATTTCGATGTGAGTGTATAATTTTTTCGTTACAATATGGCTTGTAGCTGACTACACATGTTTTGCAGGGCTGTATTTATAGCTGTATAAAAGCACCAGGTCAATTAAAGTTCGTACTATGATTATTTTAATTGGCACTGGACTTTATTCTTATACTTTTTGTGTTTTCAGTACTTATATCTTTACTTTCATAAAAATGGTTTATTTATAAACTTACCAAACCTTCATTATGCAATTCCTCCCACGTGGGATCACCCGATGGCTCTGCGTTCAAGGCGCCTTCATAATGCAACACCCCGACTTGTTTCGCTTTGGTAAACCTAGTGGTTGAAATTTGACATTAGTTCGTATTATTATAATTTTGTTAAAGAACTCAAGAAATAAAATAATTTTTTTTTTATTCAATTGTAAATCTCTAACAATAATTTTACATGGATTTAACTTGGTAACATTGGTAGTATTCGTTTGTTAATTTAATATTAATATTCGTTTGATTAGAAAATATTTCATACTATCTGATTATATTTACCTTTCATCGCAATCCATCAAACCACGGAATCGAATCCAATAATTATCAATCTCGTTGTTGGCTTCAAGAACGAAATCATATCGTTCCCCGGCGTACGTCACCAAAGATGTGGCTAAAATAACAATAGAAAATTGTAAATTAGCAATAATAAGGAAGAGATGTCGCAGGGGTTAAGCTATTCATAAGGTACAAGTATTGTGTGAACCAAAAAAATTTGTTCCGGATGTGGATGTTTATTGAGAGTTTAAATCAGACTGGTCGTAAAAACCACAGCCGATAACATAAAAAAATGAATCAAATGTTGTACGTTTTGTTAATTTGTTTAAATGAAAGGCAGTGAAGTAGACTGAAAAACGTTATTCTCAATAAGAAAGCTTTCGTTGATAAACAATTACACATTCTTTCATTGCCATTCGGACTGATCACAGTACTTTGAAAATTCCGCACGGGTCAACTAGTTATTATAAATAATTGAAACCTATTTCAATTAACCGACCTAGTCGGCATATGCAATAGCATTCCAATGCGCCTTTTGAATTTTATTGATTCGTAGACAATGTATTGTAAAATTGAGTATTGATTATTTGTTCAACTAAATTACCTGTGATTGGTTCCAGGTCGTAGCCGTCTGATGCGATCACAGTTATATTGTGGCCGTCTACAGAAAGTTCAATGGGACAGTTCAGGAACTCAGCGTTGATCACTCGGAAACGATATTTGTAGCCCTTGAATAGAAAAATACTAGTTTAGCAATAAGAAAGTAACTTGATCAATAAACTTTAATACCTTCTATATATATAAAAATGAATTGCTGTTCTTTAGTCTCGCTAAAATTCGAGAATGGCTGGATCAATTTGGCTAATATTGGTTTTGAAATATTTGTGGCAGTCCAAGGAAGGTTTAGTTGAGAAGGAAGAAAAATCGAAATAGCAACATGTTTATTTTCGTGTACAAACTCTTCCTACCTGTCAAAAATTTTTCAGATTCTCAAATTCCCTAGAAATAATTTATATGGCAAAACAACGTTTGCCGGGTCACCTAGTTTTTAATAATAATGTGCGTCTTTAATAATATTAAATTATAAAATTTTAAATAATAATGTGGCTTTAACTTGGAATGTCGATATACAAAAATGCGCGCTATAGGATTAGATTTTTCCTTAACGAAAAGTAATTTGACGGGAACCGAAATAAGATTGCGGGTCTTAGGAAATTATCTTCATCTTATATCGCTGAGAAGGATATCTCCGAACTAAATACATCTGATTATATTTTTTGTTTTCTTTTTTGATTTTGTGTCGTGAGCCGGAAAAAGAAGATTGAAGTGTTTGCAAATCCCACGTTTCGCTATTATGCTTATTATATCGTGATATAATAATCATAAGCTTTTATGATTATTATATCACGATATTATGTTAATTAAAAATAATATTTAAGATTAATATGCGACATCATCAAACTAGAAGGCCGAATAACAGACTTTTTGATTATTACAACTAAAAGTTATTACAAGTAAAAATCATTAATCATTCATCGAATGTTGTGCTGTGTTACATCTGCCTGTTATCGCGACGGAGAAAAATATAAAAAATATAAATGCATGTACGTTTATAATAATGAAGGTCCCAAAGATAAGCAAAGTCAACAAACAAATTTTAATGATTCTTGCTATTGCCGTATCACATCGAGTTTTGTCAAATAAATGTCGTACCCGTATCACCATTTGATGAGTACACCACATGAGACAGTGAGAGCTACACAGAAGAGATTCTAAAAATCTGAAAACCGATCTGAAACAGATCAAACTGTTTGCTTACAATGCTTCTATCGCTCAAGTCCGCGAATACAAATGCGGCGATTCAGCAAATCGCTGACCTGAAGATAAATTCAAAAGTATTCACCTTTTCAACGTCAAACGTAGCTGCCTTCATGTACTTAGGCCCCGTCGTTTCGTTAAATATTCTAAATCGTCCGACGCCGTTAATTAGCAACGTGGGAGGCTTGTTGTCCCCGACAGAATGGTGGTGGTCAGTGAACATCGACACCGACAGCTCGTGAATCCAATCTGTGACGATCATCACATGTTCTGATCTGAAATAAAATATTCGAAGGTAGAGTACCTTCAACAAATCTAGTGCACCAAACGGGCAACTCTCGAAATCATTATATGAAAATAAAGTCTACGACTATTAAATATTATTTAGACTATGGCTTGCGAAATAAACAAATTTTTGTCCTAACATTTTACTAAATTGGTTGCAATAACTTTAATCATAAACAAATACTATGACGTGAGTGAGTGAGACTATGTATAAGTTTGATGTATTTAAATCTACACTATTAATGTTATCTCCATAACTTTAAGGTTTTAACTTGGTACTATTGCTATGATTAGTATATCTCACATTTATATATCTTTCATTATTTCCTAGTTCATATTCAGTAACACATTAAACTTACTTATCATAATCATACAGTTTCCCATGAGGATCCTGAGACTTGGGTTTCCTGATGATTAAGGCACCGGCAGCGCCATCGGCTCTCTGCATGCCTGAGTGGGAATGCCAGAAATGTGTTCCAGCATGAGATGCATTAAACTGATACCTGTGCAGGAAAGTTGAAATATTTAATATTTTTGAAAATACACCAAAGGCCCCCTTAGACAAAGGGTATTAGGCAATATTCCACCACGCGGCCCCATCGCGGATTGGCGGACTTCACATATTTTCGAAATATTATTTCGAAAATATGCAGGTTTCGTCACGATGTTTTCCTTCGCCACTAAGCACGTGATAAGTAAGCACTTAAAATTAGCAATTTCATTGGTGTTGGCACCGGGGATCGAATTCAGGTTGCTCGACTAAATTCAATTAAAGGCTAAAAAAATTACCTAAATGTCGACTCAGGTAAAATTGGACACTGCGTGACGTAAGGAGTTCCGTCCATGTAAGGACTTCCCCTTTGGTGTTGTCCATGCCAATGTACTGTGGTGCCTTCAGTCATCAAATCGTTCTCTACATCCACAATAATTCTATCATGTTGACAAACCTAAAATATCAAATCAAAATATAAATAATTATTAAAATAAACACAAAGTCTAAAACTAAGATTTAATTTTAATTTAGATAGTGCCTAATTAACTATCACCCACCTCTATGGCTGGTCCAGGCATTTTTCTATTAACAACATTCAAAGCCCTGCTGATACCATCTGCAGGAATACAATCGATTCTAGAACAATCGCTAATGTTGTAAGGACAATCATAGCACGCTTTGCTCATAGTTTGGTACCATTCCAAATTGAAATGATAGTGGCAAATCATAGGTTCCTCTCCTTCTATACACTCTCGATGACATGGATGATCGCTACTGATCAACTCTCCGGTTACTTCATCATATTGTACGTGAGCTCGGAGTTTTGATTCCTTGTAAGCAGTTTTGGGTGATACTCTCTTATCCATATTTTGTTCAACTTTTTTCGTTACACTTTTGTTTGTCGCGTCCGATAAATTACCCGGTTTTTTTTGATATATGACATCATTTATCGAATGGTTGTAGATTGCTGGAACTAAAACTCTTGAAGCACTTTCGAGTGATCTAAATGACTCGCTTCGATTATAAAGTTTGATATTTGACGCGTCGTTAGATTCTACATCTTCAATTGTTGTGATGTCTTTATATTCACTTTCTCGATTACTAGATGAAGCGTCTACAACGGTCTTGTCCTCTGAATTTTCATTAAATATTGATTTTTCTTCACTAGTCTCTGTAGTTGAGTCATAATCTGTCAGTTTTGTGGCTTGCGTTATTTCTCTTGCATCTGTAACAAATTACAAACTACATATAGCGTTGTTATAGAAATAAAAAAGCTATAGAGAAGATTGTTAGATCTAGAGCTTGGGATCCAAAAACATCATGAAATTAATTTCAAACTTCACATCTATTTGTATCATAATGTCACGACTTAAAACAACTCCATCTGTCACGTGATTATAGTTAATATAAACAGATCGAAGCTTCTGGTACTTAAATTGCCATAATTTTTTTTATCTATAATATCTGTTATTCGTGTAGATCTAAAACATTTACTTTTTTAATAACTTTTTTATACAAGAAGTAGATACTTTATTATATACCGTTGTATATACATGTTTAACAAATTTATCTTTAATGTGATGGATAATTTACAATGTACGTAGTAGCAACGCAATCGCAAGGCTGTCGCAAAGCAATTGTAGCTCCAACTATCAAGGCGTCCTGAGTTGCTCAACTTAATCGTGCCATTCATCTTATACTTATGTTCAATGCTTTTGACGTTTTGATCCTTGATATATTTTAAATATTTAATAAAATGAAAATGAATTATATTCATGTCTTTCGATACAAAAAAATAAAAGCATTCGAAAAATTGCGGGCATAAACAACTCAACACTGCCAATTTTATCATTACGTTATCGAAATGGACACAATAAAGATTAACTCAGATACTGTATATAATAGCTTGGGCTGAATATTTAAGACAATTATATTAACCGATTATAGCTCGCAACAAAAGCAAAACAGCTTGCGAAATATTTAACATTTCGTATTTATTAAAATCTTGATAAAAATCAAAACATAAACTGTCGTAGGCGGGTGCATAATGGCTCCCTTAATTTTAATTGTTCAATTGTAAAGACGTTCACTGTAATAAAAAAGCAACCTAATAAATTTTTAGCAGTCTAGATGGTTATAGTATTAACTTAATAAAAGCCTGTCGGGTGGAAAAAGAGATGCTTTCAGGTTCTCAGATTATTTTTCTATGCCAATTGAACGAAGACGCATATCATTAAATGTCTACTGAAACATTAAATGAAATCATAAAGCATCAAGACTTTCAAATCTGGCATGCATTTCACAATACATGTAGAATGCGATTCGGCTCAAATCCGCAAGCAGCGATAGGGTCTATAGGACGGGACATTATATTGTAGATAAGGTGCTTTTATCTCGAATTCCTTTTACGGACGTAGAGGGGATTAGCGTACGAACAGAGGACGCACAATGCCTCATAAATAACATGCACGCAAGGGTGATATTTCATCCTTAAAAAATAATTATTTCCTTGATGGTTGATATTAAAATGTTTAAGATTTTCCTCAAAGAGTAATTGAAGATAACATTAAAATAGATAAGGGATGTATTGTCTAATAACATAAAAGTATTTTTACACAAAATTTAAATTGTATTTTTCTTACTTCAAAATTATTCTTTTACTTCATTTTATTTAAATATAAAAAATGATAAAAGGCATCATATTTTTTATATTTACTTGTAAAACTATTGATTTTTTTTTCAGATATTTTTATTTTTGATAAAGCACAAGTTTTTGTAATTTTTTTTCCCAAATAATACGTTCCCATTGACTACTGCTTCAGTTCTCAGTTTGTGACAAATTATTCGGACGAAAAAAATTTTAAGAGGAACAAACTTGTTGATTAACTTCAGTTACTTTACAATGTTTATGAAGATATTAATTATTTATATCTGAAATCTAATATTTCCATTTGACAACTAATTTAAATTGGAGCCGGAGCCCAATTTTCAAAAGGTTGTCAATGCCTCTGTAACCCTCGCGTGTAGCAGATGTCCATGGGCGACGGTATTCACTTACCATCAGGTGAACCGTCTGCTCGTTTGGCAACTTTTCACTTAAAAAAAATTAACTTATAGATAACCATTGCAATTTTAATGATTTATTTCTTCACAACTTAAATGGACAAATCAGTGAAGCTTTTCTCTGTATTCAGGTAATTTATTTATACAGTTCAGTGTTTTTTTTTTACAAATATTTGAGAAACCAAAGCTTGACTTGTGGGTACTAGATTACTCATAAAGATACGTTTTTCTTGTAAATAAATACATATTAGAGATATATAAATACCCAGACACTAGAAAAATACTATGTACATCGCACAATATTTTTCCACTACTGCAGATCGAACCTAGCGTAGGAGACAGGGTCAATTACATATACTCATGGGTGCTTAAAATCACTTACCATCTTATTCGTTTACTAAGTTTATGAAATAAAAATGTGACTTACATTACTCGGTATATACAATACATACAGCATGCACATTCTTTTCTATCTTTTTGAAGTTCATCAACGTCTTGGTAGAGAAGATAGAAAAGTTTTGGTAAAAAAAGGTACAGCCTTTTCTTACCAAAACTTTTCTATATGATCTCATCACTTTTCCCACAGTTCTTTTTAATAATTATCTTCATAACACAAATTCAGATCCTCATAAATTCAACGAAGCTTTAAGCCTTGGCCTATAAAACTGTAATAGTAAGTAAGAAAATCGATACTCACGGGCAGAAAGTATGAGCACTGCAAGGCAAACTGTGTAATGTATACTTCTGTGACTCATTGTTGGGAATCTGGAACAAAAGATATTGTACGTGATTAAATTGTTCTTAAGAGCTTGGTTTATTTTTGCAAAACTCTACCGTTTAGAAAGTCAGTTTAAACGAGAACGAGAATTAAACTGTAAATTGATTTAAATGCAACAGCAAACAATTTGAATTATGTGAATAATTTCATAAGTTATATAAACCATTAGGTTTACTGAATGTCCCTTTAGCCTGCTTCACAATTGGCGATGGTGTTTCGAAAATCATAAAAGGTGCTGACGGCTCCTGATGCTAGAAATGGGGCAATCCCCGATTGGATTCTGGATGTAGTTCCACGAAGCCTTTGCATAAGCCAGTAATCCGGAAAGTAATCACGGTTTGGCTAATCTGCAAATTGTTTTATTTTCTCTTTACTGTACTAAGGCCACACATCAGTTTGCTGTTGCACGAGTGAACAAAAACCCGTCCAAGGAAGTCCTCGCAGAATACCAGCATGAAGTGGAAGTGTTACACTTCTGCTTTCGGCTGGTGAGTGAGGTAGCTAGGGCTCACTTTATTAAAAGGTGGCAAAGCATCTGCAACACTATGGCTGTTGCAAATGTCCATGGGTGGCGCCTATCGCTTAACATCAGGTAAATCGCCAGCTCGCTTCTCATATAAAAAAAATAATTGCCACAGGTTCCCTTTTGGACGCGGGATTATCGAACCTCAAATTCTATAGATATTCGATAGTAGGCTGTCTAGTTTCCGGGCAAGAAATACAAATACTTGTTCCGTGTGGTAATCGAACCTACAACCCTGGTGCCGATATCTATAGCAACTGCCACAGCCATGGAGCTACTTCTGTATGATTACCTACCGTTCTTTACATTTACATTTTTTTAGTTTATAACATTACCTAGCCACCGAGTAATTAGTTTTTAATTCACGAATTAAAAAAAGTACATAGTACGGTTACTTACGTAGGCATTGTTAAATGTATCTGTTGCAAAACTTCGAAGGTCAAACAAAATAATACGTTTTTACAATGTGCCCGCCTAAAACAACAACTTGACGAATCTCTTACAACAAATGAAAGCCACAATCTGTTTTATTACACGATATATACGCGTCCGCATGGAAATGCAAAATAAACTTTCGTGAAATATACGTCCGAAGTTTTTGCAGGAATCCGGAAAAATTAACTTAGGGATTTACATACAAAAATATGTACGGTGATATCTGTATGTCTACGACAAGAGCCTTTCAAAGAAATGCACATAAAGTATCTGGAATTCATATCTAATTATTATAAATAAGACGCACACCTGATAGTGGTTACCGTTACTCATAGACGTAAATGAACATTGGAGCGGCATTAATTAAAAAAAATAACTAATCTTAAAATGGTGTTTTAGAAAACTGACATTATTCTAAAATTTTTAACCATCAAATATCTAAGTTCTGCAGACAGCTCCGATTCAGAAATAGCAGGATGTAATTCTAAGATATGTTAGTTTTCACATAGAAATTACAAGATTTCAACTCTTTCTACCGACAGCTGGGATATATTTGTCTGAAAGAAGCTTCGATTTAACTCGACTTGCAAACACGGCCACATAAGAACTAAAGTATTTAAATACTCTCAGAGAAAACCTTAGCCAAGCTGGTAGTATCAAAACGCTATGAGGGAAATGTTCACCAAGCAAAAATTTCCTCCTCCGGTGTTAGTTCACGACTTAAATTTGCATGTCAACGGCCACAATCAACAAAGTCGTCACTTCTCTAATTCTCGTAGTACTCAACACAGTTAGCTATATGATATTTAAAATTTAAAATTCTTATATTTGCGCTGTCGCGCACCGAGTGCAGTTTTGAATGTCACTCGTGAAACCTGTTAAATTTAGGGTAACGACATTTTTATTTTATCACGTACCAGTTGCACGTAGACAAAAATTAGAACGAGCCTTGAATTTCTTACATTATTTTTTTTGTATCTATAATGTATGTATACAACATTGATGGTGTTGAGTAGAGATTCGAGTTTGCGTTTCAGATACATGTATTTTGGTTAACGCGTCTCTTGATAACGGTTATTAGCCTGAAAAGCATTGGAGCATGTTTATAACGCTTTAAGGAGTTCTTAGCAAATACTTGAGTCATTGTATTGATGTTTCTGTTACAGGACAATCACACCAATAACATATCATATTTTTTTATGTGAAAAGTTGCCAACGGAGCGCCTGCTCGCTTGGTAATTTTTGGTTGGAACCAACAACAGGTGGTTCACGTGATGTTAAGTGAATACCGCCGCCCATGGACGTCTGCTACACCCAAGGGTTTGCAAATGCTTTGACTACCTTTTGAAAATTGGGCTAGGCATATTACTAAAGCAAAACTAAAGTAGAGTAACAGCTTATAAATATGCCACTACTGGGCGAAGGCCTCCTCTATACAGAGGGTGTCGGGGCCTAGTCTACCACGTGACCCTACGGCGGATTGGCGGACTTTACATTTCTTGAAAATATTTTTTTTATTTATTACCGATAATATAATTATATTATAATCACGGCTATATATGACTATTGCATATTAATACAGAGGTTTAAGGGTGTATTTAAGACGATTCTGATCGCAACTGTACAATACAGACGATGAACGGCTGATAAAAGAGTTAAATCGTATATTATAAAACTTCCGTTATCCAATATAACGCTTGCCCGATTATTCTTATCGTGTGTTATGATATTAAGTAATAAAACAATAAGTTTATAAAATCTTTTTTTTTTATGTGTGAAAAGTTGCCAAACGAGCAGACGGTTCACCTGATGTTAAGCGAATACCGCCGCCCATGGACATCTGTTACACCCGAGGGTTCCAGATGCGTTATCAACCCTTTGTAAATTGGGCATGAAGTTTAGTCGTTACTTTTTTTCCTTATTAAAACCTTGTGCAATATCCGCAGTAAGACCGATGCACTAACAAAGTGAAGATCACTAGAAGTATAAAACAACATCAGATTAAAGATCAAAGCGAGGTCTCGTGATGTGCACGATAGCACAGCATTGTATTGTGTTTTATTTAAGTGATAAGAGATAGTTTTTTCCGTATAACCATTTCCTTTTGGGGAAGAATCTTATAAAACGTAGAAGAAATAAAACCACGAAGCACATCACGAAATCATTGTAAAAGCTTGTGTCTTAGTAAGCGTAGTCTTTCTTTAGGTTTACATATCTATATTACGTAGTTATTTAAAAAATATGTTTAAATGTGTTTATCAGTTATTTAGTACCCATAGTATAGCGTTGTTTAGTTAGGGACTAGATAACTTTGTTCTAAAAGCATGTCCAGAAATATTTATTTGTTTGATTGAATATTCTTTATTGCACATACCATAGTAAAAAATAAATACATTAAAAATAACAATTATGTAAGGGTTGTACAATGGGCGGTCGTATTACTTAAATCAATTTCTTCCAAGCAACCTTTGGATGGACATAATACGTAGAGTATTTTAGGGGTGTGGTTAATATTTATTTATTACTAGTTGTGCCCGCGACTTCGTCCGCGTGGAATTTAAAATAAATTTTTTTTTAAATAAAAGTAGCCTAAGTTACTCCTTACTACATCAGCTATCTGTCAGTGAAAGTCCCGTCCAAATCGGTCCAGCCGTTTCAGAGATTAGCCGGAACAAACAGACAGACAGACAAAAATTGTAAAAAATGTTATTTTGATATATATTCCATATATAACATATATATATGCATTTAGTAAAAAGCGGTTATTTTAATGTTACAAACAGACACTCCAATTTTATTTATCTGTATAGACTAGCTGTGCCCACGAGTTCATCCCCGTGGAATTTAAAATAAAAAAAATATATAAAATAAAAGTTGCCCAAGTTACTCCTCTTTACATCAGCTATGCGTCAGTGAAAGTCCCATCCAAATCGGTCCAGCCGTTTCAGAGAATAGCCGGAACAAACAGACAGACAAAAATTGTAAAAAATGTTATTTTGATATAATATGTACTGTATATACATCTATATGCATTTAGTAAAAAGCGGGCTTTTTTAATGTTACAAACAGACACTCCAATTTTATTTATTTGTATAGATAAGTATAATGTGAATCCGTTGTTGTTTTAAGTTAAGTATATGTGATATACTTGCAAAACAACTTTGGGATTTGGATTTTGATTCTCAATGTAATAAAAATAACGGAACGGTTATAAAACAGATAACACTGACCGCCTAACGCGGCGTAATGATACCATGCCATTTTTAAACTATGGTAAAGCAAATCGAGTTACGCGATGTCGAAACGAAACGTGCGGACAAGCAAAACAAGCTAGTCACATGATTGAGATGCGGCGTGACGTAACGCCCGCTCCGTTGAATGACCTCTGCGCGTATTCTGAACAACGAATGCGATGGACCATCATCGTTCCATATTCCATATTCGGAACTAGTTTTTTTTTCTTGTGAGTTTGTGGTCTGATAATATGTGAATGATTGAACCATGAACAAACCTACACTTTGCAAATATTCAATAGAGTGTACAAAGATCATCCAAAACACCAGAGAAATGCAAAAGTATTGGTAGTTCTACTTTACACTGGCTTCTATGTGATGGTGACAGGCTCATCCAAGTAGATCCCGAATTAGTAGCGAAAGCTGTAGCAGAAAACTATCACTCTACGTGTTAAAACTATAATATATAAACCGAAAAAAGCTATAATAAGAAGAAACGTTTAAATTTGGCGGTAAAATAACAATACTATAATATATAATCTTTTATCGAAATACTATTACACGAATATAGAGAATGTTGATTTGTTACCACGCAATACGAGTTTATAAATATACGTTATTTTAGTTACGTACGAAAAACGAGAATTAATTTGTATAGTTGGTAGAATTAATTTGGAAAATTAAATATGCTATCAAACTAAATTCAAACCTCTTAAAAATCGCTATAAACTTTAATTGGACTTTTATCTTCGATAGCTGTAACATAAATCATCAAGAAAAAAAGTT